GCAGCCGTAATGGAGAAAGTATCGAATGAATGGAAGTTAGGGTTTTGGGATTACCTCAGTCCTTTATATAGAAGTGCAAAATTTACCCGAAGTCCCCAAAGTGCCCCGACCGACTTACTGGAAATGTCCAGAATACCCTGGTCGGTTCGTATTCTGCCTACTTCCTAGTCAGCATCTAGATCCTTCCTCAACTTCCTTCTTATCCTTAACTCTCCCTCAATACGCTGAGGTGTATCAAAGCTATCGAGAACTACGAATTGCAAGACTCCTTCAGTCGACCTGAGATATCGAGTCGAGTCGACTGGATCGCATTCAATCGTTAGTGGATCCTGATACGTCTGACCGTCGTCTTGGCAGAAATCGACTTATGTTAGTCGACAGGTGTACGCCGACTCAGACGAGAGCCGGGATCCCTGATCGTGAGTATCGTGGAGCCTTATTGGCGGAGTCGATTTTGTTAAAGTCGACTTGATAGTTTCGAACCGTGATGATACGGACCGTTATGAGCCAGTGTGGCTATATCATCTAGTCCCCCCCAAAATTTACTCGAAGCGATTCTGAGCTTAAGAGTAAGTTCTGGACGGTCGAATGTCTTCCTCGAGTATTTTCTTATATCCTGTCGCCTGTAGTTGCCCTAACTTGTACCCGGTCGTTTCTGCGACTTGCGAAGTGGTGTTCACCCAATCGTATTTCGAACTGATTGGATAAGTCTGGATCTTTTCAAATTTCAAAATTCAAAAGATAAGACACTTTCTCTCTCCACCGCTTCGTATTCTGTGCATCATCTTAGCCGTTGAAAATGACTTTAATCTGAGGGCTGGGGTTTCTCTGCCCTCTCTATAAATAATCCCCACCTTTTTTCGTCCTCACTTTTCGCACTCACCTCCTTTAAGCTTTCTGTTTTTTCCGGCAAACACAGCTTTCCGACGCTCTTATTCTCCGGCATCCTTCTCCGATTTCTCAGGACTTTTCCGTCAAGCATCATGAGTATGAGTAAGTTTTCTTTGCCTGTTCGACTTGTTTTCGTATTTCGAGATAAGAACGCTTTTTATTTTTCTGGGTAAATTGTCTGGAAATAAGAACATCTTTCATTTTCTAGGAATTGGATGTGAATCTTCTGGCGATTTTCCTGTTAGATCTCTGATTGTAAGTTTTTCATCTTTTCAAGTGTTCTCTTTTGCTAGTCGTCTTGTTATGAGATCGACTCTTTTCCTTTCCTGACTTGACCTTCATTTTTCAAGTCAAATCGATATGGGAACTACTTTTCTTATTTTTTCTCCCTTTTTTCCCGTCGTCGAGACGCTTCTCGTGTTATCCTGGTTATTTTGTTGACCCTTCTCTTTGAATCGAATCACGGTTTCTAATAACTTTTCTTGATTGCCATTCTTTTTCTTCTTAGATTCCAATCTCGACCCTGTTTCTGACCCCGTCTCCGGTTCTCTTTCCCGTGAAATCGATAACTATTCGGGTTCGGACTCTGTTCACCCAAACGATGTCGAGTCATGTTCTCATCGAAACGTCGAGCCGGAGGATTTTGTCCATTCACATGCCTCACCTTTCGGTATCGATTTGGCTGTGTATAATCAGACGTTGCTTTCGGGTACCCTTTGTGAGGATCCCGAAGTTCTCAAAACCCTTGAATCCTCTTACCTCGACTTGGCTCCTCGAGGTATTTTCCGCTAGATTTTTTCGAACATCCTCATACACGCGGCCAGCCTTGTTCCTTTACTTGATAATGACTTCCCTTAATCGAGTCTGCAACTATAGCATGTTCCGTGGTAAGTTCTTACTATCGTTTTCTTATGCTCCTGCAGCCGAAATCGATGGCTTTAGAGAGTTCAGCGGCCATCACTCAGATTGGGCTGTAGTTGCTCCTAAGCCCGAAGACGACTTCCGTCGCCCTCCCAAGGGTTGTTTTACTTTTTTCGTGGATCAAATAATGTCGGGCCTGCGTTTCCCGATTCAACCTGAACTGCAATCGTTAAGTAACCTTTTCGATATACCAATAAACCAGTTCACCCCCAATTCTATTCGAATAATGGTAGCTTTCATAGTTGTTACCCACATAGTTTTAGGTAATTTTCTACCCGAGTTTTTCCTTTACTGTTACGGGTATAGGTTTAGCAAGGACGCCCATTGTCTGGGCCGTCGAGTAGGTGTTACTTTCCTTGACGACCTCTCTTCCAACATTACTGAATGGAAAAAGAAGTACTTCTTCATTCTACCTGCTCCTGGCCAGTATCCCTTTTCGAATGAGTGGATTACCAATAAGACAAAGCAGCATAAGCGTCCCGACTCTTCTCAATTCGCTGATATGCTAGAAGAGTTAAACAGACACGTATGGAGCGCTCGTCGACTTACCAAAGATACTTCTTTACTTAATCATGTTGGTATTTGTGTTGATAAAAGTGCTCCTCGTCTTAACGATCCTTGTAAGCTTCTTTGTTTGTCGTCTTTTGTTTCAATTTACTTACTAATTGTTTGGTCTCGCGTTTCTGCGTTTATCTGAAAAGCACGTAAGGCTGGTGTGTTTGTTTGTACTTGATCGTTCTTTTCTTTTTTTTAGTAAAAGCATTGGCCCGCTTTGAGAAGAAAAAGGCTAAAGCGGCCCGCAAATCGGTTGCTCAAGAGCTTGGGGGTGGCTCGAGTTCTCTTGCTCCATCAGCGGCGGTCGAGACGACTGCCGCTAAGAAATATAAAGTCGTTCTCCCTTCCACTTCTGTTCCCAGCAAGCCATCGGATTCCCACTCTCGCAAGAGGCCTCGTGACCAGCAAGATAAGGCTCTGGCACCTGGCTCCTTGAAGCTTCAGGAGAGGAAAGAGCCAGAGGCCGTCGTCGATGTGACTGCGCCTCTGGACGGAGAGGGTGCGGGACAACCATCGCCCGTGAGGGTACAACCGGTGACCCTTCAACAACCCTCTCGACTCTATGACAACCCTGACTCTCTCCAGATTCTCAACTACCTCCAGTCGGTTCTTCCGGAGGACGACCGAGCTCGTTCCAACGGCAACCCATACGACAGGGCTCGTTATGCCGCTCGACTGATTCCTCGGGTAGGCTTAATCTTAAGTTTGTTTGCTTTTTCCTCATGATCTTAGTGGTGTCGATTTCTTATTATTTTATTGTTGTTTTTTTTTTCTTTTCTC